GCTGTCCCTGGCGCTGGCAGTGCCCGTGGGCCTCGCCGTGGCACTGGCCATGAACTTTCTCATGGTCCTGGTGGCTCGGCTGCTCTTCGGGGCAGCACTGGCAGGAGCCTTCCTCGCTCTCTACGTGGCCCGTGAGTGTGACTGGGAGGGTCCACAGGGGCGTGGGGATTGAGGATGCTCTGAGGTGCAGGATGCTCTGGGATACAGGATGCTTTGGGGTGCAAAATGCTCCAGGGTATAGGATGCTCCAGGATGCAGGATGCTGCATGGTGTAGGATGCACTGGGATACAGGATGCTCTGGGATGATTCTCCAGGGTGCAGGATGTCCTGTGTCAATGGCACCCACAGTGCACTCCTCACCTTCTGCCAGGGCTGGAGCTGTGTGAGCCCCCCCACCGACTGGGGGATGACGAGGGGGTGGCCAGATCTGTCGGGATCCGCTTTTTCGGAGCTTGCTGCTGCCCAGGGCTGAGCCCCTGCTGTGCCGGACTGGCGGGTGCTGCAGGGCGCCGTCACCATGATCCTGGCTCTGCTGGCTGCCTGCTGGTGGTAAGGACCCCCTGGACAGGGGTTTGTGTGGGGCTGGGCTGTGCCTGGTGCTGTTGCCAAGCTGTTCCCAGCCAGGCACACCCTGTCCAGGGCCACAGCAGGGATCAAAGGCTGCCCGGGACTCTCCAGGGGAGTGGGAACCCTTCCACCCTGGGTAAATGTTTGCTCAGGTTTGAAGTTGAGGGTTTCTGGGCAGTGTTGCTTTGAAGCCGGATGGGAGGGTCAGTGCTGGAGGGGGCCAGGCCCCTGGGGAGCTCTGTGACCTGACACTCATGCCCCAGGTGCCCAGCACTGCTGCTGGAGTCAGCGCGCTGGCTGCTGGCCACTCAGCAACTGGAGAGGGCCAGGAAGACCCTACAGGCGCTGGCTGAGGACAACTGGCCCCAGGACAGCCTCCTCACGGGTGTGTGGGGGAACTCCAAGGGTGATGGGACACTGGGACCCCTCCCCACAGCCATGGTGCTGAGGGTGGTGGGGCAGTGCCGACTCTATCCTGGGATCCCTTCTCCCAGCAGAGCTGGAGGCCTTGTCCGAGGGATCCCCACAGCCCCGGTACCACGCTGTCTGTGAGATCTTCAGCACCAGAGTCATCTGGAAGAACGGTCATTCTCGAGCTTCGCGGCTATCGATTGGCAGGAGGGGGCCCTTGAGAGGTGCTTGCTGGGGGGGAGGGTCTCATTGCTGGCCCCCTGACGCCGCTCTCCCACAGGTTCATCGGCTCCGGCATCCGCCACTGCTTCACTCGCAACCTGGCCCCCCACCTGCCCCACTTCTTCTCCTCCTACTTGGTGCTGGTGGGCACCGAGGTGGCTGCCTGCCTCTTCGTGTGCCTGACGGCCGAGCGCTTCGGACGCCGCGCCATCCTCCTCCTCTGCACCGTCCTCACGGGCATCTCCTCCCTCCTGCTGCTGGCCCTCACCCAGTGTAAGGACCCTCAGGGGACCGCCAGGGATGCAGCCCCCAACTGGGGAGGGAACTGCATGTCTGAGAGGGGTGGGTGCGGGATTTGACCCCTGATGGTGCTTCACCCCCTCCCAGACCTGCTGGAGCTCATTGTCCTGACCCTTTCTGTGGTGGGCACGGCCGCCTCCCATGCTGTCACCATGCTCAGCATCTTCTTTGCCAGTGAGGTTCTCCCCACCGTGGTCAGGTAAGGGGGGAGCCACCTCCCTCCTGTGCTACCCTGGGTTGGGGGGCACAGGGGCAGGACCCCCTCTGAGTGTGTTCCCCCCGCAGGGGTGCCGGGCTGGGCCTGGTCGTGGGGGCCAGTTTCGTGGGCAAGGCGGCAGCGCCCATCACCGCCATCCCAACAGCCGTGGCTTCTTCCTGCCACCACTGGTGTTTCGCCGCATCCTTCGCCATCCTGGCCGTGCTCAGCATTATGTTGCTGCCCGAGAGCCAGGGCCGCAACCTGCCCCAGTCCCTGCAGGACGGTGAGAACCAGCGCCGGCCCCCCCTCTTCCGCCGGCCCCCCTGCGAGGACCACCTGCCCCTGCTCGCCTCCCATGGCATCCCCCACGACTATTCCCGCCTCGCTGCCTCCACCAAGAGGATGCTGGGCTCCCTGGACACTCCTCATGAGATGTAGCTGTGCCCCGATCCCTGGGGGTCTCCCCACTGCTG